TCTCTCTCTCTCTATAATATATATATATATATATATATATATAAAGAAATGATCCAGTTATTCTAAGAATATTTTTTTCACTTAATAACTCATATTTTATATCAAATTTTAAAGATTTAATCAATAAATTAAAAATATTTAATTTATAAATTAATTTTACAAATTTTAGAAAAAATATATATAATAGTTGCGTTAGGAGCTTCTCTGCCAAGAGGAAATCGGATTCCAGACAGAAGGAATGTGTTGTGTTGATAGCCCTCCGTTTCTAAAATGGTGGTCACGATCCACAAGCAGCGATTCAGGTGTGCCCTGCCCTGCCACATCACCAACCAAATAGTATTACGGCTAATAGCATACACAACTAAAAATGTTTTAAAATCCTATAATTTTTTACAGTCGACATGTCAATTAACATAATACATGGGGAGAATATTTGAAATAATAAAGGGAAAGACAAAATGATAGGTGATAAGCACAAGTATGTTAAAGCAATCAACGAGAGATCAGAATCAGTAATCAGGTACCCAATTCTAATTCCTAATCCACTTGTACCCTGCTTCTATTGTCCCCGTAGCCAGCCTGTAACTGTATAAAGTATCTGGAATACACCAAATTTTAGAGCAACATGGGCCATCTAGCCGGTATCTATAAATTAATATTAAACAAAGAAAAAGAAAAATCAAAGTAGACCACACAATTGTCTTAACTTTCTCTTTCAAGTTCTTATCCAATCAAACTTTCTACTAATGCTACAACATCTATTGCAAATTTTTCATTATTCTCATCTTCACTCTTCAATTGCTCGCCATAACACCATCCAATTACCTTTCCCATGAACATAACTACAACTTCCATTTCGTTCTAGAAAAATAAAATCAGCAAGTTAAACTATTATATATGTTGGCGGATCCGGGTGGACTTGAACCACCAACCTCCCATACGCATTAGCATTTGGGCGCTCATTCCAATTCGAGCTTCTAGATCCATCGTAATTTCCTTCGAAGTGTTGTGCATTAGACAAAACTAAATAAACATTAATAAACTTGATAATTATAAGATTATAGCCAGAAGCATACAAATTAAAAGCTTATAAACTAATTGATTAAATTAAATACAAGCTTATCAAGAAGAATAAGAAAAAAGATTTCGAAAATGAAAAGGAAAAAAATTCAAGCTAAATAGTGAAGATAATAATAAAAATATTATAAATTATGTTAAAAATTACTGAAGTAACTTCAAGTAAACTTGAAACGACAAGAAATAAATGTGTACAAAACAATTTTCGGCCTATGCTACTTACGAGACCAAACACCACACCAGAAAACGGGTCTACGCTTCAGAAAATGATGCAGAGAACTTGCACTAAAAGGATTTACCTACTACTAGCTACTTCAATACACGCAATAAACCATTCTCCGGCAATATTTATACGGCCTAGGAAACCCGTAACATCATCGACTCTATTAATCTAAATGAACCTTCCCATTTCTGCTCGGAAAGCAACATTGCGAATACTCCGATCTTCCCAGAGAATTAATTAGGATTTATGGCAATAAAAAATATTCAAGCCATTAACTTAAAAACCAAGAAATCCACCACCTCTTCCCACAAAATCTGATTCGCAAAACAGTTGCAAGACCCGCAATTGTGAAGCAATTCTAAGACGAAATATTAGGATTCAAGGTCAAAAACAAACTAGCAATTAGATGCTGCACAATATACGAGTTCACTAATAAGTGTCACTGCGCCTGCATTAGTCAAACTGCATCAAATACTACCAAAATAAAAAACATTTATAAAAAGACCTGGACAAACTGTTTCACCATGATCAAATTAAAAAGGAGTAGAAAACAAACCAGATTAACATTGGTGTTCCCAATAACTAAAGAACAAGATGAATTTCAATAATAATGACCAAGGCTATGAAATCATCGACCAGCGCGGGAATATGTCACTGTATATAAACAGACAATACTGTATACGACGGATATTACAGGAGGACATAACACAATCGTTTGATGTCGAAGCACCAAAGACATCTCTTGATAAATCAAGACAATTTTCAATTAGTAAAGCATCGAATCAAACTGTTCTTCAAGTGATGAAGATTAACATAACCTGCAATCACAGCATAAATTGTGTTACCAAAGCAAGCAAGGCAAATAATCAATAAGGGGAAACTCGATCTAATTATATCACTATCATCCACTGAGATTAATTACATGGCTCTAAATGCAATATAAAGTACTACATTATTTAATTTTGTTAAGGAAAGAAGAACGCTGTCATAAATAACTTGGTGTTCGTACATTTGTATTATAATGAATAAATTGGTGTTTATTTGTATGCTAATGAACAGCACGGTGTTTATACATTTGTTTTCTAATGAATATCATATAACTACGTTTTGTACATTAGTATGATAATGAATAGCATAATAGAAAACAACGACTGCAATTATAAACTCAAACTAACCATTGCTCTAAATAACAATACACAATTATACATGTGCGAGACTTCCAAATTGCAGGAAGAAACTGCAGAAAAAGAGACTAAAAGATTAATATAACTGTATCCATGGCCATAAACAGTAATAAATAAAAATCATTCAAGGCAAAACAAAATACCTCCAACAAAGCATGGATGTTCTTCACTGCATCACAAAAATAGAAGGAAAAATACTTTCATCTTCCAGCAGATATCTGACACTCAATTTTAAATTATCTACACTCAAGAAGGTTGAAATGCCAGTTGAGAAATGCTTCAAAAACGTCAAATATGGCAATGATCCAAACCAGAAAATTGCACGTTCATGGAACCTTGAAGCTACACCTGGTACTGTTATAGCCATCTGTTCTTGCTAGCTCATTAGCTATCCACGTTGGAATATTGAAACATAATACAACATCAACCTCCCACGTATCCCCTAAAGACCCAAATACAAGTGCAACTAATAGCTACATGATACAGAGGCAGCAAGAAATGAATAAACCTTAATGGTTATCATATAGGCACAATTCTACATGGAGACAGTGACTTCTGTTTTTTTTTTTTTTTTTTTT